AAAGAACTCTTTAAATCTACCTGAGGCTGGTCAGTTCAAAGATGACATCATGTCCTTCGGGACAGCCGTCGAAATTGGAACGATACAAAGAAGATTAGCATGGCTCCTGCGAAAAGACGCCTCGCATAAATAAAAAAAATGGACCAAATTAGGAAACAAACAAAGAAAAAAGGTGATACCATAATCCTTCAGGACATCCGTTAAAATGGGAACGATATCCAGAAGACTTGAAGACTTGCATGGCCCCTGCACAAAGACGACACACAGCATAAATCGATTAACAACAAAAAAAAGAGAGAGAACCAAAGATGAAAACAGCCAAAAAAACAGGCAAGCACAAAGCAAAACAAAACAAAACAAAAAAAAAACCTCGTGATTCGATTCGGAGATTCCGATAGGATTGTCAGATTCTCAACAGCAAATATACGAAGCTCCGCATCTCATGCATAATCGCAGCAACCGTTCCTGTTTGAACAAGGGGTGGGAAGAAGAGCATCTCTCCCATAACCAGAAGGGAGCCAACTGTGAAGATGATGGACACGACGCGAGGAAGCTTTACAGCTCGCCAGCATGGAAGTCTACGTAATCCGAACTCGATGCAAACGACAACTCCGGCAACCCAGAAGAATGAAGCGAGTTGCCACGTGGCGGCGGTTCCAGATATGTACCACAACACCATCTCATGCATCACACCCGAAACGAAGAAGGCCGCCATAACCGCAATCAGCTGAGTAAACATAGGCATTCGAAAAGCAGCAGCCGCCCTCTGCTGCTGCTTTACCTTCTCTTCACAACGATAGGCATCATTACCGGCCGCATCTCGTCGTCCTGCACCGTCCGACTCGGTAATGTCATCGCCAGGAATCTCCCGAGAGCGGCGGGAGCAGTCCCTCTTCTCCTCCTCCTTGTGCTCCCTATTCTCCTTCTCCGCCTTTCCTTCATCGACATCACGCCTACTCTGTGACGAGCGGAAACGGATCCCTGAGTTATCGACGGCCGTCGGGGTCGCGGTCTTCTTGCCGATCTCCGTCTTACTCGATGGCAGGGCATGCGGTCGGGACTGATCGTCGGTCGCCATAGCCGAGCTCCTCGGTATTGTCTGAGAAACAGACAATCCTTCATGGACACCTCCACCTCCCTCCGCTTCCCTCTTCATCCCTTCGTCAGTGACCTTCTCACCCCACGAGCCACCCCGGAGAGGAGACAGAGTAGGAGGAGGAAGGGAGGGAGAGGGAGAGGGAGAGGGAGAAGGAGAGGGTGCGAGGAGTATGTGAAATAACAACATTATCGGCTCATATACAGACTCGCGTAAGAGGACGCTTATTGTGAGATGCCATCTTCGCGCCCAGAAATCGCTATGTGATGTGGACAAATAAGGATGGTCCACGTGTTTAAGTAGCTGAATCTTCAGCGTGCCGGTGATAAGCGCGCCGAGCCCTTCTTCCAGCAATCCCACGAAAGAGTTTATGACCAAAGCGTGGAGCAACGTAAGGACATGTCTAGGAACTTTCTCCTGGTAATCCGCGATCACAACCACTCCGGCTATCACCACAGTGAACTTAATGGCGCTGAGTATAACCAGCTCTATCCACGTCTCTACCTTCCCCTCCTTCTGTCCCGATCCAGACTCGGTCGTCGATGCTAGCTCCCGTCGGGACTCCGACAACAGCTTACCTACCGCTCCTGCTGACGCTGCGGCTGCTGCCCAACGCCCTTTGATCGGATTGGGATGAACGCGGACCGGAGTGGATAGCACGGCGGCGAACGCCCACAGGCTGCTGTCTATGGCGGGGGGGGGCTGGGAGACGAGCAATGGGCCGAAACCCCAACAAAACATCAACACCTTGAACGATGCGGCCCAGGTCGCTATACAAGAGAGAATCGTGATTCCCAAGACCTGCGTTCGCCGGTCGAAAATCAGCGGCAGATAGCCATAGATGATCAAAACCGGCAACGAGGCAATCAAGCGAGTAACACCAAGAGGCAGCCGCCGCACAATATAGAAGAGATAACAGGCTGTCAGGAGACAGATCAGCCCCGCCAGAGGAAATCCACCCCAGTATTCGATCGTTCTTCCTTCCTCTAGCCACGGCATTGCTTTCTCCATCTTTCCCCCCGTTTCACGCAGCTCCTTCTCGTTTTTCTTCTTCTTCTTCTACTTCTTCTTCTTCTACGTCTTCTTCAACTTCTTCTTCTTCTACGTCTTCTGCTTCTTCTTCTTCTTCAAAGCCCTAGCACGACTTGCTAAGGGCACCAACGTTCTCAAGGAGGCCTGGATGAGGCTACTTGAGAACCTGGTACACTGGGATAACAGTGCGCGGCCGAAAATTTTGTGGCGAGTGCCCAGCTTTTGCCGCCGCCGACACACAAGTGTTAAGAGTCGGTATTGGAGATCATTGTTTTCTTCCTCATCACCCCTTTTATCTGATCCATTCCGCTTCTTCTTTTTCTTCTTGCTCAGAATCTCCTCCTCCTTGTCCTCCTCCGCCGCTTACACGGCTTGTGCTCTTGATTCTCTTCCCCCACGTGGATGCCGAGCGTATTAGACTGATTCGCTGGCTGGTTACTCAGCAATGACATTGAATGGCTTGCGGACAACGGGGACTGAAAGCGGCCTCGTTGGTAAGCACGGATGGCTGGCCGGTCGCGATCCACGTATGACTTCATGTGCTAGACGCGATTTCAGACTCACATGCACGCCTAACGAGTGATGACGATATGGCTCTTGCCAGAATCATAGGCACGTTGACATGACGACCGGTTCACACGCTAACTGTGGTCAGAAATGCATACGACTACCGGTAGCTGTCTGAACGGGCGAAGGGAGGGAAGAGGAATAATCGATTGGAAAACACGCCTTCGGTCCATTTCTCGATTGTGCAGAAGACACGCGTTTCCGCGGGAGAGAGATGAAGGACATTATTACGCTCTTTCTATTTTCTTCTTTTCATCTTCCTTTCATCGTCACATTCTGAGGTTAGCGTCTGATCCGATAGTACTTACGGTAAGTAAAAATACGAGTTTCGGGGGATCCCACTTCTTTCCGTGAGCAGGTAGCGGCGCAGCTGGTGGGAGGGTGTGGAAACAGTTTCTATCGTGGCAGCTGGGGAGTGATCGCCGGCGCAAGAATCTGTCCCGTTTACCAAGAGAAGCCAACCCTTACCCTGGAGCAGCTTTTTGTTAGGGTCTGATCCCACACTACATACCGAAACGGATTCCGTAAAAGTAACGAAAAAGCTGGAAGCTGGGCCCGCTCGGGACGGACCGTGAAAGGAAAATTGCATCCCACAACTCCGAAAAGAATGGCCCTTTTACAGGCATAGCGGCGCAATACTGTGGGAGGGTGGACGGGGAAAAAAAAAAAAAAAAAAAAAAAAAAAAAAAAAAAAAAAAAAAAAAAGCTGCTCCAGCATTTTTGCGGCAGGGTACGGGTCGGCCACTCCTCCCATTCCCCTACTACTTTTTGGCCACTCCTCCCATTTCCCTACTACTTTTTGGCGCCGTTCATTCCCAGACCGCCACGACAACAAACGTTTCCACTTACCTCCGAACTCGACGGTGCTGCCTACGACTTCGGAGCACTGTGGGATCTCGAAAAATCGACTTTACTACAAACCGTATGTAGTGTGGGATCAGACCCTTATTGCTTTTTTGTTTTTTTTTCGGTCACTCCCTCCTTTCCTCCGTTGATCTGCCACCCTCCCACATTATTGCGCCGCGATGCCTGTAAAAGGGTCATTCTTTTCGGAGCTGTGGGATGCGATTTTCCTTTCACGGTCCCATAGGAGCAGGCCCGACTTTTCGGTTTCTTTTAGGTTCTCTTAGGGTCTGATCCCACACTACATACGGTATGTAGTAAAGTCGATTTTTCGAGATCCCACAGTGCTCCGAAGTCATAGGCGGCACCGTCGAGTTCGGAGGTAAGTGGAAACGTTTGTTGTCGTGGCAGTCTGGGAATGAACGGCGGCGAAAAATTAGTAGGGAAATGGGAGGAGTGGCCGACCCGTACCCTGCCGCGAAAAAGCTAGAGCAGCTTTTTGTTGTTGCTTTTTTGTTTTTTTTCCCGTCACTCCCTCCTTTCCTCCGTTGATCCGCCACCCTCCCACATTATTGCGCCGCTGTCGGGGGAACCGCCGCCCGAGTTCTTCTTGTCGCCCAGGAGGCCCACGCTACGGCCCTGAGTGTGACCGACTGCAGGTGGGGTCACCGGCCAGCTCTGGAGGAGGGAGAGCAGGTGCGCTCCCTAAGGTACGATGGGGGCCTGCACCCAAGGTCTCAAGAAAAGACTTGAGGACAAATCCCAGGCTCATAGCCAGCCCCGCCACCGTCAAGGGGGAGTTCTTGGAAAATCCGGCTTCCGAAAGCTGAGGGGCTGAAGCGCGCGGATCCTTTCTGGGCGAACGCCCGTCCCCTATAGGTAAAAGGGGGGCAAGCTCACAATGGCCGAGGTAAGAAAGAAGAAAAGCCCGGATCAAAACAAGTCCGTAAGAGGAGACGAAACTTGAGAAAGGCAAGCTCGCAACAGTTCAGATATTCGAGGAAGGGATTTAGCAAACCAGAGAGGGTAGCCTCGTAACAGCTTGGGTCATGCGGCGGGCGAGCTAAAAGAAATCCATATCGTATCGGTCCAATTCATAAGACAGGAACAAGCTCGTAACAGTGCAGAAAACTCAGAGAGCCAAGGAGGGGTAACAACTTGGTTCGCGTGGCGAGGCCAACTAGAAGAAAAACAGCTCGAAACAGTTCAGATCTTAAGACAGAAAACAAGCTCACGACAGTAAAGAAAAACTTCGTGAGCCGGGAAAAAGGTAGCCTCTCAACATCTCAGCTCGTATGGTGAAACTTAGCGACCCAAAAAGAAATAAGAAAAAAAAAAAAAAAAAGTTCGTAACAGCTCAGTTCATGAGCCAGAGCTTAGCGATTCCAGAAAGAAAACTAGCCTGTCACTGTACAAAAATCTATAGTGAGCCCGAGAGGAAACAGACTCGTAGCTGTTCAGTTAGCAAGCCGAGAGTTAGAGAGCCCGAGAGTAACAAGCTCGTAACAGTTCATCTTGGAGGGCGAAAACTCAGCGAGCCGGAGAAAGCGAGATTGTCCCTGCTTGTATTTCGTGACGAAGAACCCCCGAGTCACAACAGTTCCCTGTCTCTCTCTCTCTCTCCCTCCCTCTCTCGGAGTAAAGGAAACTCGGTCGTATCCAGACGGCCCCCGATTGTGAGGTGACATTGAAGGGGTTATGGCCGAGGCTATCTGGAGGACCAAGTGGCGAATCCCTGGCCCAAGAATGCACATATTCGGTCGAGTCCGTAGTTCAGTCGGTGTTGCCCACTGATTGTGGCGCGTCTCTCAACCTCTGCCGCGTGCGTCCACCCTTCGCTCATTCGGGCTCATGTCTCCCTTCCTCCTAGCGCTAGATCTTGCCCCCTCCCTCACGGCCTTCTAGACGCCCTCCGGAAGTCGTCTTCCCACCCGCTGTCTTGCCAAACTGCCTCCCGCCGTGCAATGATCCGGACCCTTCCGATAGTTGACTCCCTCGAGCTTGTTCTTGCTTCCGGCTCTGCCGACTGCCCCGAAATGCCGTGCTGACCTCTGCTTGTCCCGTATTCCCGCCTTTCCTCCCTCTCTCGTTCTCAGCGCTAGCTCTCAGCTTAGATGTTCGCAAAGCTCGAGTGCTCGCACGTTCCGAATACTCTTCGAATGCTCATGCGCGACTCTTCTCCCGAGATCTTTTCTCACGGTTCCTCTCCCCGCGACCCTCGCTCTTCCTCTCTCTCCTTCCCGACAATGGCTCGCAGCCACGCGAGGGGGGGCTAGAGCGCTTGCCCGTTCCCGAATAGTCTCGAATGCTTTCGCGCAACTTCTCCCTAGAGTTCTTCCACGAGAGCTACCATGCGCTCTGCGAGTGCAGCGGAGGTTCGTGCGCCTCGTGGTTTGTTAAGCCCACTGCGCTCCTCTTTGCTTCCGATAGTGCTCGACTCTTTCTTCGAGCCTAGCGGTGGAACTCTTGACTCTATTCGTGTTTTAATGAAATTATGTACCCGTAAAAAATGGCCGGGAAATCCTGGCCTTACGGGTACCACCCTTGAGTTAGTTTTGTTGTTTCTGAAGCAAGTTCCTGGGCTTATAGTTTAATTGGTTCATCTCAGTCAAGGAACACGTGAAAGCCTGCAACATCACTCTCCACTGACTGTCTAGTGGAATCCAAGATCGGATACGAGACTGACTGGACCCTTTCTAAATAAGAAAGAGGCGCAGAGCTGACGGATCTCCAAGAAACAAACAAATGCGAAGGCAAGGCCTTCGTTCGGCAGAACAGAAATTTTACGTCAGCAGATGATTTTGTTCTATTGCTCACTAAGGCCGTAGAAGGCACGAAGTGCTCAGCCTAGACAAGACACACCTCTAGCCTTTTTCCAGATATCTGCGATTCTCTTATCTGGCATCAGATCAGACGCGAAGCGTCTGCTGAGCACAGTGCAAGGTCAGGAAATCAATACTCTAGCTACACGTGAGATTGATTCCGGACAATTAAGAGTCGGAAGGCGCGAAGCGAAGCTGTTTGTCAGCTCGACGCGAACCTCCCTCTTGACCCCTTTTTTCTTCCTTAAGCGAGCGTGTTCCGCTCGGGCGTCCGTCTCTCGGCTAGTTGTAGAGTCCGCGCGTGATTCCGGAGAGCTTCGAAACCCCCCACTTTCGTTGTTCTTCGGTCCAGCGCGGCCGTCTCCTCCCCCTCTCTTGCTCCTCCTCTATGCCTCTCTTACTTTCTCGAGCGTCGGTCGTCCGTTACAAAAGGACCCGCACCTCCAAGTGTTCCTCTCTCCCCCTTGGGCGCTCCGTCGAAGCCGGGTGCTCAGCGTGTAAAGCACGAGCGCTCCCCAGAGCGCTCCTCACGCTATCCCGATCCCCTCGTACGCTAAGAGCTCGACTCTCTCCTCGTCGTTCTTGATACCGCTGCCGGACTCCCCGATTAGTGGACAAGTGCGTCTCCCTACGCAGGTAGGCGAGACGACTACGTGCGCCGGTCTCGTGCGCCTTCTTCCCCGCCCCTTCCCGGTGTGCTACGGTCGCGGGAGAAGTACGCGAGCTCCCGACCTCTCTCTCTCTCTTTCCCTCCCTCTCTCTTTCCCTTCCGATCGCTGATGTCGAGCATCCCCCCTTTCTTCTCGTTTTCCCCCTCTCTATACCCGTGCAACCCGGACTCCCCTTCTCTCTACTTTCCTTACCCCAACTAGCGCTCTCCGTCGTACGTTTTGGAAGGCGCGAACTCTCGTGCTCTCCGTGCGTCTGTAAACGAGAAACCTCCTCTATCTCCGTGCGCCCTGTGAACGAGCGACGAGYGATCTGGCGCCCCTAACTACCTTCGTACGCCTCCTTCACTTAGCATACCCCCCCTCCTTTTATACTTCTCAGCCCACCTTTTTTCGATCCTTCTTCCCTCTCATTCCGCCAATCACTCTCCTCTCTTCATTTCTCCTCCCACTTCCTTCAACATTTTGGTTTCCCGCCGTCCGTCATCAAATTTTTGGAAAATTTCTCCTTTTCCCGCTTGACCGCGTCCGGACTTCCTCCCGCTGCACCCTCGTTCCTCTCTTTCCCGCTTAAGGAGCTCTTCCGCCTATGCCAGCTATCACCTTCAATCGATCCAGATGACTCCGTATTCAGACTTGTTTTCGGTCAGGGTGCATCCTCCGCTCCACACCACCTTGCCACAGACCCCGTTACGTGCTTTCTTCCAGGGCGATCGCCAGAAAACACAGGGACGAAGTCGTTCACCACTCGTAGGCCATGCTCCCTGAGTCCCTTGATCTTCCTCCTCCGTCTTCGTCCAGTCGCCCCCTTATCGCATTTCGCCAGCCACGACTCGTTTATGATCGGGGATTTGGACGTTCCTGTGTCCTCCCCTTTCGTTCGTTCCGACTTCAGCAAACCAGTTGCCAAGAAAGGGGGCGCTCGCTCTCACTTACTCACCTTCCGACGGTTGGTTACCAGCAAGTGCGCTCGCCTCACATTCTAACCGTTTCAACTGGACATTCTTCGAAAACCTCCCCCTTTATCATTCTTGGGACACTTGATACCTTCCATCTCTCCTTTTCATTTATTGTCCATCGTCGCTCTTCAACACAGGTCCTCCTATTTCCCGTTAGCCCCTCGATTCACCATGTGATCCCCCCTTTTTCGGCTGTTATTCGCTTGCCCTCTTTCTTTACACGGTCCGCATCCGCAATGTTCCTACATCCCAGACTCCCTCCCCGTCGCACCGGCTTTGCATGCGAAGCCTAGATCCGCAACCCGCCGTCTTTCGATTATCACACCCGAAACGTCCGGGCGTTCTGCGTTAAAAAGATACACTGCTTGCGGTACGCAGTTTGGGTCGATAATATCACAGTCAAGTCCAGTACGGGATACCCTCCTTACACCCTTTGGTTCGGTAGGCATTGTCCCCTGCCCATCGAGTTCCACATTGACACTTGGACGAGTGTCTCATGGAAAACCAACATGTCTAGGGATGAACTGTTGGAGGCACGGATACAACAAATAGCCGAGAACTTGGATACCGAGGTAACCGCGGCCAGTGAGAATGTCGAGAGAGAAAGGGTGAAAGGGAAAGATAGGTGGGATAAAAATCTGAGGGTCCGAAAGATGCCATTACTAGGGGTTAACGACCTGGTACTAATGTACGACTCCAAAAAATCCCGTTGAATTCGCGTTAAACGCGAAAATGGGCCGCTCCCGCGCTTTTCGAAAAAACGGAATTGATGCGTGGGATCCGGAACACGTCGCCCTAGGCAAATAAATAAATAAGAAATAAATCCCCCCAACCCCTGAAGCACCTCCCATCCGCCCCCACATCCCCCAACCCCCAACGCCCCAGTTATGTGTGTGTAGGTATGCTGTGTGTGCGCGTATCTGTGTATGTGTGGTCCTGCCGTGAGAGTGTGTATGTACATGAATATGAATGTATGCGCGTGTGTTTGTGTATGTGTATGTTTGTAAGTGTGTGTGTGTGTGTCTGTGCTTGTAAGTGTATGTGTGTGTGTGTATGTATATGTGTATGTTTGTGTATGTGTGTGTTTGTAAGTGTGTGTGTGTATGTGTGTTTGTAAGTGTGTGTGTGTGTGTAAGTGTAAGTGTGTCTGTGCCTGCGCGTGAGAGTGTGTCTCGCCTTACTCACAACCTCGTTTTCGAACACAAAGATTCCACTTGCACCCAAGGACCACCCTGCGCCACACCCAGCTTACAGCAGCGCAGCTCGGCTATGGTTGCCTGCTCCTTCCTGCTCGCCCGTGAGCGCGTGAGTGGCACGAGCTACAACGAGGCAACGCTTACGCAGCATGCAGCCAGCACCCGAATGCCCAATGTGGAGGCAGGCCCTTTGCTATATCGAAGTGACCTGCCTGAGTTCAGTCCCAGGAAGCTTCCAATAGGCCCCGATAGCCTGAGGCACTGCACGAACGAGAACAGGCCTAGGGCCTGAGGTGGTTGCATGCCCCCAACTACCTTTGGCCTGTGTTTGCCCCAGTACCCGTATCCAACCCTGAACCTGCTTTCCATACATTCACACAGGCGGCTCAGGACCTGGGTTCCCTCAACCAACTGACACCAGACTCATGCAACCTGCTACAGGCCCAATTTTGTATGTGTGTGTGTGTCTTTTTTTCCTTTTTTTAATTTGCTTTTTATGGTTTTTTATTTTTTTTTAAATACACGAAGTTCCAAAAAAATAAAATAAAAAATAAATTGTTGAACATCTTTGAAAGATCTACAACCCTATATGTTTTATTTGTTTTTTTTTTTTTTTTCGTTTTAGCCCTTAACAAATATGTGTGAAACCCAAAACAAAAACACTCATTTCATGTTAGTTTTTTTTTTTTCATTGTGTGTTTATGTTTTTGATTTTTAAAAAATAGATTTAAGCATCAAAAAATAAAAATAAAAATACAGGATTGTAGTCTTTAACAAAACCTACAACCCCTTTTTTTTTTTTTTTTTTGGATAATTTTTAGACTAGGAAAAAATAATCCCGGACCCCTTTAATTCCCGTCCAACTCGCGTTTGAACGAGAGTTTACCGTGAATTCAACGCGCCTTCAATTTTTCAACTCGAAACCCGCGTTAAATCCAATTTCGGACACACAGACCGCGAGTATCTCGGTCACTGTTCCGCACGGCCTTTGCACCATTTCGCCAGAGCGTCCACAAGTGTCCGGTGCCCCCTTTCGACCGGTGCATTGCTTTGGGGGTGGTAAGCGGTCGTATAGGTTGCCCTGATCCCTTCCTTTTCCAGTAATACCTTGACCTTTTGGCTCAAGAACCCTGCACCCGTACCGCACAATATATTCAAGGAGAAATTCACGGTACGGGTTTTGGCACAAAAAAATAAAAATAAAAAAAATGACAGTGTTGCGCATGGCCTAGAGACCCCGCACAAAAAATTTCAGATTTTTCTGAGCATTTACTGATAGGGTGATACTTTGGGGGGGAGGGGGGGGTAGAAGGGGTTTTGGTGGGGATAGGAGGGATGTAGATAGGGAATGAATCTTTAAAGATTTTTATTATTTATTCTACTGGCCCAAATGATCCAAAAATTTGGTGGCATACACCTAATACAAGGTGGAAGCCACATGATTTTTTATTTTATTTATTTATTTATTTATTTATTTTATTTTATTTATTTATTTTTTTGCGTTAGGTCGGACATACCCTGTCCGGTCCGACGTCCGACCAAACATCCGGTCGGACATCCCGGACGATCAGGGGGGTCCCGGACATCCGGCCCGGCAACCTATATATATATATATAACCCCGTTTAAATTATCCTCTTCTCTTTCTCTGCCTACAGTTTGTCGTGCAGTTCTGTTTGTGACGTTATACATTTATATATATATAAATATATATATATATATATATATATATATATATATATATCAGCCCACTATTGCATATAATAGAACAATATGCATAGACAAGCGTATTACATCTCTTACTCTCATTGCGCTGAATACAAAACATGTCATGTTGTTTCTTATTATATAGAATTAGTGTGTCACTCTACCTCTCTCTGGATGACCATCTCTTGCTCTCATGCCCCTCAAACAAAAGAGCGTTTGAAAGTATAATTGCGAATACAACACTCATTACATCATTTGGAGAACTGTGCACACAATTCCTGTCACACCCTTGGCAACAGATATCAGTTTTGCATATACCAGAACCCAAAACTCTCCTTCCAAATCAGCCTAAGATTGGATAACAAGCGCCCTTAAAATTCCCCCTGAACTTTTTTTTTTGTCATTTGACCTTTCACTTTCTCTGTCTGTGTTACCTTGTTAGCTGCCTCCCTTCGTGAAACCCTTGTCTACCTTTCTCTTCTTATCCAGAAAACCCTCTCTCTCTCTCTCTCTCTCTCTCTCTCTCTCTCGATCTCGATGAACTCCCCGTTGTGCATGTGGTGAGACTCTCTTTCAAGTATGCCGTTTGTAACCATACTTGGGTTGACAACCTCTGGAACATCCAAATACCTCATGTTGACAGGTTCTCTCTCTCTCTCTCTCTCTCTCTTTCAAGTCCCCGTCGTTCGCGTGGTGAGACACTCTTTCAACAACGTCATTTGTAACCACATCTTTGACAACCATCTGTCAAACATCCGAATACCTCACGTCTAGCAGAATACTCTCTCTCTCTCTCTCTCTCTCTCTCTCTCTCTCTCTCTCTCTCTCTCTCTCTCTCTCTCTGCAGCATGTCATTTTTTCAATACCAGTCTTGCACGTTGTTATGATGGTTCAATCGTTCTCATTCCCTTGCTTGCTGGAGTCGTACGTGCGGGTCGACTTCTTTTGTTGATGTGACAATCCAACACCATATGGGCAAATGCGAGTTGCTGAAAGGTGCAACCACTTCGGTCCACGTCCTTGTGTTCTCTGTACAACACATCTTGCACTGCGGTTTTGAACCCCATTGCACCCCATGGTTCATTACCTTTAATCCTCCACGTTATATCTTCAGTCATTCTCTTCCGCATCTCTCGCTTCACATCCAAACGACCTCTTACACTTCTGCATGGATACGGCAACCATGTCGTGGTCCAAAACCCTCTAACAATGTCATAAGCAATCTCCCCTCTGATGTTTGTCAATTCTCTAGACCCAAGCGTGCGAATCACCGAAGGCCCTTTCCATCCTATCGTGCGACGAACAATATCTTGTGCCTTCGCGTCAAGAGAACTGACGAGTTACATGAAAGTTTCCACATACACCTCAATTGAGGAGTATATCTGTGCAGCTCGTGCTCGAGAAAAACAGAAAGTTTTTGCCACGCAACGCAACCATTGCTTTAACATTTTCGAGTGTGCCTGCAATGTCTGAATGTCTTCACATGCCAACTCCTAAGGAGTTTTGTTCATCTTCATGTTTGCTTGGACACGCTCCCGCATCACTGTGCACACACACACACACATTTCAAGTGCCATACAAGAGAGTCAAACCACTGATGTTGTCATTATAGCATTACAGCGAACCCCGTAGCATCCACATCCGTGCTCAAGCCTGACCAAACTCAGGGAACATGCAGGAGTTGCACCCATCAGCAGCAGTGATAATGCTACAAACAAGAAAAGAAGAATTGTAAACGAATAACATTTATGGACACTCTCTTCATATATTTTTCCGTTATGCTTACATTACTGAACACAAGGTGATTCAGTTTTGTCCTTTATCTGTTGCTCCGTCAATTGCAAAATCCCGACTCTCTTATTCGTCATCTTTCGCAGTCTCTTCATCATCATCATTTGCCGCTCCATCAAACTCATTTGCGTGAACGTCGTTACTATTTTCATCGTATTCGTCCTCGGACTCTTCATATTTTATGTATTCCTCATCTCCCAACTTCTTTTGAGTTCCCCGTTGTGAGGACTATGCTTGTCGGTTTGCATGACTCATATGTCGTTGTTCACAACAACCACTGTTGGCTTCCATCTGTCGAGATTTACCTTCCTTACTCCGAACATAGGCACGATGCATGATTCCTTCAATATCTTCCTCACTTTCCAACATCTCTCTCTCTCTCTGTCTCTCTC